ATTGGAAAGTAAAAATGGAGAGTGTAAGTCAGCATATGATTATGGAAAGTTTTCAAAAATTATTTTAATGTTTGTTTATTTTTTGAGAGAGAGAGAGAGAAACAGAGCACTAATGGGGGAGGGGCAGAGAGAGAAGGATGCACAGAATCTGAAGCAGGATCCAGGTTCCAAGCTGTCAGCACAGAGTCTGACGTGGGGCTCAAACTCATGGACTGCAAGATCATGACCTGAGCCGAAGTCAGATCGTTAACCGACTGAGCCACCCAGGCACCCCTGGGAAGTTTTGTAAGTAAGGGCACCTTCCTGAGCTCTCTCCCCAACTCGAATCAGGTCTGGAAGAGAGATTCTTTCTTTCTATCTTTCCCTTTTTTGTTTGTTTTTGGGTTTGTTTTTAAATCCCTGATGCCTAGAAGAGCCAGGCACAGGGTTAGTGCAGGTGTTGTTGCATTGACTGATCAAACTTTACATCCTCTTTGGCCACAAGGGAGGGTAGAAAGGAGCCTAAAGTGGAGACCAGTTTTAGATGAACAAATTGGAGCTTTTTGGAGCAGGAATTGTCTTAGAGATGAAAAGTAGTGAGGTCCACATCCCTGGAGGTGTTCAAACGTAAGGAGTCTGAAAGAAACTCTGCTCAGAGACAACATGAGAATGTTGAGAAATAGTTTTGCTGGTTGGAATCTTCCAGGGATTGGCCTATTGATCAGTACTTTGGAATTCCAGTGAGATAGGACCTGGGTAGGGGTTCCCTCATGGAACTGTTCAAGATTGTATGGGAGAGCAGGATGTGTGTTTTGAGCAAGGGCTTGGTACAAGGCACCAACTGTTCTCCAACGGCTAAGTCTTCGTCAGAGCTCAATCTGCTTGTGAATTTGTCTGGAATGCATTCCTAGCGGCACCATCTGTTTGGAATTGTCCTACCATCTGACCATTTATCCTCCATCAACTCCCCTCCTCTGGGCACTCTCACTGCCAGTTAAGAGTCTACCCATTGCCCAACCTGGATAAACTGAGTCCGAGGAGAGACTGGACAGCAGACAGGGGAGGAGGAGGGAGACCTTCCAATGTATTGGCATTCAGGGCCATGCTGTGCCTAGGAAGTCCCCACCAAGCCTTCGCACAGAACCTGGAGAGAAAGCATGTGGCTGAGCCAGAGCCATATTGTGCTCCAGGCACTCTGATGGCTCCACAAATAATATTGATGCCTTTTGTTTGGAAACTCTTTGTGGAGGTTTCCCATTTCCCAACAAGCCACGCTAAATGCTGGGCCTCCCCCAAGCCACTGCCTTTTGCATGGTCCCACAGCTAACTGTGCAGGCAGATGAGGGGCCCTGAATGCTAATGAGAGGAGTGGCTGGCATTCCTGAGGCCCCCCAGCTCTGGGAACCCCGGCCTTTGTTGCTAAGGAGCGTTGGAACTGTAGCTGAGAGGCTCTAACGAAGGGGGAGGCAAGGAGAGAGAGAGAAGAAAGGCCAGCATTTGTTTGCAGAGCTTCACAGTTCTCTGGCCAGCTCCAAAGCCGCCCAGTTGCTGATCCCAATTAGAATATCAAACCCCGTATTGTTTCTCTTAATGATCTTGGGAAATTCCTCTGAAGAGTCAGCTAGCACTTAGCAAACTCTTTGGATTGCGTGATCTATACAGTTGTGTTTCTGCTTGTGTGAACACAGGATGCCAAGAGTCCTGAAAACACCCTTCATTTCAGTCCCCAAAAGGCAGTGATGAAGCTGGCAGAGCTGGAAGAGGGCCGAAAGCCCCAGGGCTTCAAACGTTTCATGCGGGGGCTCCATTCTACAAATGTTTTCCAGGTGCCCACCTGGGGGTGAATCTGGGTTCTGTGCTGGAGACGAAGGTGAGGAAGACCTTAGCCCTTTCTGGAAGTGACCTCCAGACTTGCTGGGGAGACAGACCACACATACTAGAGAAAATTCGCTCTAATGGTGACCTGCAAGGCACTGTTGGGCTTGAAGTTGTGCACTGGATTCTAATCCTGACTCAGTCACTCACTAGCTGTTGGTCCTTAGGAAAGCACCTTTTACCACCATGAGTCTCAGTTTCTTATCTGCACAATGGGCATAGTAGTAATGCCAGCATAGTTAGGTTACTATGAGGAGTCAGGGCAGGTGGAAGAATCAAGAATAAGAATGTGTAGGGCACGGTCTCTGCCTTCCAGGACCACACAATCAGGGAGCCACCTGTTGGCTTGGAACTGGTCTGTACTTGGAAAAGGAATTTAATGGTTTGGTCCATTGAATGGGGTAAATGGAAATACTGTATAAGAATAAGATAGGAAGCCAGTTTTCCCTTATGGAGCATGTCTACGTGACAGATACAGAGCTGGGCAATTTGTACCATTATCTCCTTTAACATGAATGACTCTGTGAGGGAGATAGTGAATTGCTCAGGGTCACACATCTGTGAAGGAATCTGTCCAACTGGTGAGATTCAGCTTCTGTCGTGTCTTCAGTGACCCATTTTAGAAGCTAAGGCTTTCAGACAGTTGGGGCAGATACAGTTGACCTAGAGTCTCTCCAGGGCATACTGGAGTTTAACCAGGCCACTGCACACAGACACCCATGTAAAAAGGTTCTGCTAGAGAAAGCTGGTCAAGACCACAGACAGCAGAGTTTCTCTACTCAGGGTTAGAAGTTCACAGTCACGGGGAATATACAAAACATAACTGACCTTAAGGGGGAAAAAAGAGAGAAAGGTAACAGATTTTCCATAAGTAAACCATGGGGAAGTCCTAGCACAGAGGTCAAACCAATATTCTAACACATAATGACCTCATAGCATTTTCCTGTTTGTGTTCAATGGTTTGCCTCATGGCAAGGCCTCATTTGACATCTGCTGTCACACTGTCACCTTGATATCTTAGCTTTTCTCTATGAATTGAGTTGAATTTTGCTTCTTTTAATGTTTACTCCGAGAAAACCTAGTGAGTATTTGCTTTTGCAAAGTGGAAGTCTTGCAAATTCGCGCACATGCGCGCGCGCGCGCGCACACACACACACACACACACACACACACACACACCTTGGGGTAAAGTAGTGGACAATTCCAGACAGGAGATGATCCAGAAACAATTGTCCCCTGGTTCTAGAAGGCAGATCTATCTCAAAATTTGTTTTTGCTATAGGGGTAACGTTATGTCCCTGTGTCATGTCACACAGTCGGTTGTTCAAGCATCCTGATGCTCAGCAGCTAAGGGAAGGGACGTAAGAAAGGTCCATCTCTACCACGTGCAAGGAACTGTCCAAATGACATGACTCTCAGCGTTTATAACACTTCTGTGAAACACTCAGTGTTTTTATTATTCCTGTTTTACAGTTGAAGGAACTGAAGCTCAGGGAGATTAAAAACTTTCTAAAGCTACCACCTACTAAGTGACGGAGATGGATTTTGGCTGATTTAAAGCCTATTCTTTTTCTGCTCTCTGTCGAAGGGTGGGTAGTGGTGGTGGGGTGATTGTGGATCCAGATCTGGCCATTGCTACCCACTTATAGAAGCATTCCGTCAGTGAGCTCTTCAGGAGTACAAGGTATGCACATAGCCCTGGGGCACCTTTCTGCTGCATTCCAGGTCCACGGAGTCCCCTCCAGCTGTGTGAGTTGCTGGGTGCTGAGGCTATTCCTGAGGAGCTAGTCTAGATGTCACACACAAAGAATTGGGTAGGGCAGGATCACTGCTCTTCAGGACCCCACGATTGAGTCTAATAATCCTGCCCTCATGTTTAGGGCCTCCCTTCATCCAGCCCTCTCTCCAGTTCATTTCCCCACAGAGATGTAGAGTGGAAAGGGCATTCTTAGTGTTCTCCAGAAGGCTCTATCCCTCTGGCCAATTATCAACAGGCAAGCAGTCTCAACAACTCTTCTACCCTTTACTTCTTTGAGCCTCTCTCTCTTCATCTGTGAAATGGAGTTGTAAAACCTGCCATATTGAGTTGTCAGCGATGGATGAAACAAAATATTTCCAGGTCCCAGCACACATTAGCTGCCCAACGTATACTGAATTGTCTGATCTAATATTCTAACTTTCCTCATTTGGCATTTTGGTAGTCTGAGAAAGCCATGTTTGTTTGCTTACTTCTCTGACCTAAAAGGCTAGTGGGTCCAAGGGTTCTAGAATGTTAGTTAGAGAGGTGGTCCAGTCTGCTTTAAGAGGCATTTTTTGGAGGTTACTCAAGGATTATAAAAACTAAAGCAGGCTCACACGTGAAGCCCTTAGAGATCATTTATGTTAGTGAATCAAAACTATTTTATTCTTAAGACCTTGTTTGTAAGACTTTATGAAATATTCCCCCCCCCCACCCCACCCTGTATCAAACGGATAAAAAGGGATACTCAGGGATCTTTTTTACTTTTCCCCTTGACCTAACTCCTGCATCCTGTCTCCTGCACAGTTTTGAAAACCAGAATCCAGGTCACGCAACGCTAATGATGGTTCTGGGAACACATTTGTCTCTGAAGTCCTAGGCTAGCATTCCTTCGGTGAGCTCATGCTACCTGTGTGGTGTGATGTGTGTGTGTGTGTGTGTGTGTGTTCTGGGGGAGGTGCAAAGTTAGACAGAAGAACTATGGGGACTGGTGGAAACTTTTGCTTGATTTTCCTGCCAGAGGGAGCAAAGAAGATGTTACTTAGTTCAGAACCCTTTGTCACTCATTGAAACTTCTGTCCTATACTCTGGGAAAAGGACAGTGTAACAGCATCTACTTTTGTACTAGAGAAAATATCTCACTTGTTCAGAAAAACCTTGCTTGGAACTCTGCTCCTACCCTTAGTATTAACATATTGTTAATAATTTTATTTTTCTTATAATGTGGAAATCCTTCCTAGAACAGTGACTAGAGGCGGATCACACATCCAAAAATGATATAGTTAGGTCTCTTATGTGACAGGCATTTGAGGGAGTTGACAACAATATCTAGCATATTTTTTACTCTATGGAATTGCAGGGTTTGCAAAAGCAAAGTTTCCTCAGCAAGGTAGAAAAAATAATCGTGTAATGTTCATAAGGAGCTTTGCTGGAATAAAAGGGGGTTTTAAGAAATTGGGTTCTTGCCACCTCAGGAGAGGAGACCTGGTTTTCTCGGGTCACTCGGAGCTGCCTATCAGGGAGTATCATAGCTAGAAATGAAGCCCAAGTCCAAAGCATCTTCAGTTGCTGCATCGGCCTTGACTCTGTGACAGTGTCTCCACCACTATGCATGGGCTGGGGAGAAACACGTGTCTGGGTAGAAAGGAAGAAAAAGGAAACATCTGTTCTCACAATATGGGTTTGTTATCATAGCTCCTTTAAGTACTGGAGTGCTGGCTCCAAGAGCATATTTTCTCCCGCACGGAATCTCCTCAAGGCTTGGTCGATTTTCCGAGGGCTCAGGGACAGGTTGTAAATGAGATTGTAGTTGTGAATGAGGCGTCTGGCCCGTTCCTTTTCCAGGACTCCTGCGATTGGGTTGGGTGCGTGGTAGGTTTTGAAAAGAAGAAAGAAAAAACAAAAAAGAGAAAACAAATCTATTAGCTCAAATGACTTCCGTGTAAAAACAAAATGCTAATATTTTGACACTTTAGGCTTCCTAAAGCAATTTAAGCTTGTTCTTTGGGGCCATAACACTTTAAAAGCCAATTTTTAAAACAGGTGGAGTGCCTGCGAAAATCGATTTCTAATTTTTCTGGTTTATTTTTATCTTATGGAAGTAGCCAAACACGTTCCTAAACAGGCAGGTTTCAAACAGCCCATTTTGATGCTTTTCTGGAAATGTATTTGCTGTGACTCCCTCCAGCTTGCTGTGTGATTACAGGTAAAGCATCACGTTTCTCAAGGCTCAGAGTCTAAATCTGTATAGTTGAGATGGTAGTGCTTATCATCACAGGATGTGCTCTGGTACTTACGTGTTATATGTATCAGTGCCAAGGTGCTTTCCATGTTAAGGGTAGGTGGACGTTGGTGGTTGCAGAGAGGAGTTTTAAAGGTAGAACAGAGCATCAGCAAAGATCAAGAACTCACTTATGAGCTCCTAATTGTGAGCTCATATATGTCAGATACAGATATGCGCTTGGGAATATAGAAGATTTAGAGAAGTGACCTTTTAACCTCAACAGGGAGATCCTGTTGAGACAGTCAGATATGCAAAAAATTAACTAGAATGCAACAATAACAATAATCACACACACGCATGCGCGTGTGCGCGCACACACACACACACACACACACACACATCATTTATCATGTTTCAGGCACGCCTCCAAACATTTTACCAGTAGCAATTCATTTAATGCTCACAACAGCCCATTTTACAGAAGAAGAAACTGAGGCATAGAGATGGTAAGTCACTTGCCCAGGGTTGCTTGAAACCATGCATTTAACCACTACACTACATTATAGAGTAAGGAAGAAGAGATTATTTTAAGTGAGGCTCAGATTGTTTCCTAAATATGTTCCTTGAATTTGGGGGATCTACACCACTGGTGTCAAGAAAAGCTTTTAAATATCTTTTATAGGGATTAAAGGTGCATCTCATGCATGTTGTCCTTCTACTCTTCTCTACTGGTGTGGGCTGTGGTAGCGATTGTGGATTCTTTCTCAAAGAGGCCAGAGATGGTCCCCGGGTCATGTTGTAAACATCACTACCAGCCCATTAGAATTTGTGTCTGCTGGATACCTGTTATCTCTGTTGAAGCTGCCAAGTAGTATTCATATATATATTTTTAATGTTTATTATTTTTAAGAGAGAAAGAGAGCATGAGCAGGGGAGGGACAGAGATGGGTGGGGGGGACACAAAATCCAAAGCAGGCTTCAGGCTCTGAGCTGTCAGCACAGAGCCCGACATGGGGCTCGAACTCATGGACCGTGAGATCATGACCTGAGCCGAAGTCTGACTCTCAACCCACTGAGCCACCCAGGCGCCCCAAGTATTATTTATATTTAAATGAGCAAAGACCACTGAGCATGATGCTTTCCTCTGAACTGCTCCCTGATGGCTCTTCTTAGCAGTGGACTATAGACAGGTCCTAATGTGATTTATTCTATTCGTTCTGTTTGGTTCTGTCCTGTCCCATCCTGTCTCCGTTTGTTTATTGTCTATCTCTTCTATTAGAATGTTGATCTTGGCAGAAATAATTTTCTTTGAGTTGGCCAATTGCATCTTTGCCGTTCTCTGGATTGGGCGGCTGTTCTTGGTCTGGTCTAGGTTGGATCCCTCAATACATTTCCTCATATTCTGCCTCTGGAATTATTAGTCATGGACTTTGGAATAAGTGTCTGGCCGGGGAAGGTATTTTAACTTTTTGAGCCTCAGGTTCCTCAACTTTAAAATAGGGATAATTAAATTGTATAAAAACCAGTAAAATAATGAAAGCTTAGAATGGTGCCCAGAACTATTAATCACTCATTAATGCAAGAATTATAAGATGATTATAATAGTTATATCGTCAACATTATTTAAAATATATAAGAATGTATCTTAATAAAAAATTTTTAAAAATACACAATTTAGTTTATATTTTAATCACAAATTAAAAGTAATGTTAAGGGGTGCCTGGGTGGCTCAGTCAGTTAAGCGTCTGACTTCAGCTCAGGTCATGATCTCACAGTTCGTGAGTTCAAGCCCTGCGTTGGGCCCTGTGCTGACAGCTCGGAGCCTGGAGCCTGCTTCGGATTCTGAGTCTCCCTCTCTCTCTGCCCCTCCCCTGTTCATGCTCTGTCTCTCTCACTCTCAAAAATGAGTAAATGTTAAAAAAATTTTTTTTTTAAGTAATGTTAAGAAATACATCTAGAAATCACCACTGGTGTGCATGGGGACATTTTCTGCTATCTTCTGAGCTTGATCATTGGTAGAAGATTCCTAGTGTCAAACAAGAGTCCATTGACTGAAATTTGTATCTGTCTAATTTACTGTCATTAGGGGATGCCTAGGACAGCTGCATAAAATAACCCTTACAATCTATCTTAGGGTTGAAAACCTGTTCTTGTCCCACCAGAACCAAAATAAAAGAAATAATAAGACTTCCTTTAACATCTACTTTATTCTACAGTTTACAAAGAACTCTCAAATGTAATTTGATCCTTTCTCAAATCTGGGGAGGTATGTTTTATTATTTTATTTTATTTTTAAAAATTTTAAAAAATCATTATTTATTTCTGAGAGAGAAATAGAGTGTGAGCAGGGGAGGAGCAGAGAGAGAGGGAGACACAGAATCCGAAGCAGGCTCCAGATCCCGAGCTGTCAGCACAGAGCCCGACGCAGGGCTCAAACTCACGAACTGTGAGATCATGACCTGAGGTGAAGTCGGACGGTCAACCGACTGAGCCACCCAGGAGCCCCGAGGTATGTTTTATTATTAACAGTCTTAGTTTATAGATAAAGAAACAGGCTCAGAGGATATATATATACATCCTGGCTTTCAGGGCGCAGCAATTAGTAAAATCTGGAGTTGAATCTAAGTCTTCTGGTAAAAACAAACAAAGAAACAACCAACAAAGCAACAAGCAAAACCTCATGTTCTTTCTGGTGTGTCATGGGAGTTTAGTGTAGTGGGAAGTCCAATAGAACTGGGTTTGAATTGTGGCTGAACTCCCCACTGGCTATTCTTTTACCACTTTGAGGTTGGCTTTTTCCTCCGCAAATAAGGACATTAATGCCTTCAGCATGTGGTTGATGTGAGGAGTTAGTGATTCAGTGCGTGCAAAGTCCAGACTCATGCAAAGAATGTCCTTGAGGTCTCTCATTGCATTCTGCCTCCTTGAACGTGAAAACGTTTTCTATCTAGCCTTCAGTTCATTGGGAAAATTCCAAATCTACCATTCACTCAAACATTTATCCCAACCACCCTTTTTTCTTTAGAAAACACGACCAGTTATTCACAGTCATTTCTTATTCTTCCTCTTCAAGGATATTTTCTTGACAACCCCTGTTAGAAAATAAGCACAAAGTAGGTTCCCAGAAACACTAATTTGATGATGGATGGTCTGTCTTCACCCTGAATGAAGAACACCCTGGCCTACATATTTCCTTGCACATAATAAAGAACACTGATTCATCAATAGGCAAAGTAGGTATCATCTGCTCAGTGTCTAGATTGAGGCTGTGGTGGTCAGCTAAATACTGTGGTTAATAAACCAATGAAATGACCTCAGTTAATCCTCTTTCCTCATTAAAGATAGGTTTAGATGTTCCCAGATCAGGCTGACACATTCCCTGGCTGACAAGGAACTAATGAATTTCATAGAAACAGAGAAAACAGGCATAAATAGTGAAGAGGCCATGAGAGAGGCATTTCAAATCTGCTGGAGTCTGCCTCCAAAGTCAACAAAACTCTGTTTTTCCTCAGAAGAGTTCAGAAGTATGAGAAAGGTCCCAGCCATTGGGGAGTCTTTTAGCAACTGAGTTTATGATCCATCATCCATCACTGCAACTTAGCATTTGTTTCTTTAGAAATGTCTTCTCTCTCCACCTGATGTTTTTTTGTTTGTTTATTTTTGTTTGTAACCCCATCACCACTCTAGTTATGAATACCTAGGCTCATGATTATTTCAGTAATGGCTTTTTTAAAAAAATGTATTTTTATTTATTTTGAGAGAGAGATAGAGAGCAAGCAGGGGAGGGGCAGAGAGAGAGGGAGACAGAATCCCAAGCAGGCTCCACACTGTCAGCACAGAGCCCAATGCGGGACTTGAACTCACCAACCATGAGATCATGACCTGAGCTGAAGTCAAGAGCTTAACTAGCTGAGCCACCCAGGCACCCTTTCAGTAGCCTTTTAATCTCCTTTTCTCCAGTATCATCTGTAAATTATCCATCTTAGCTTTTCTTGTGCTCTGCTCTGGTTGAACATTTGGTGGACACTGGGTAGAGGATTATCCTAGGACTTGGGATTCACAGTAGGGTTTCAACTTCACTATCCAATCCAATAGAAATCTTCTAAGCTTTGTGGAAGATGGTTTCAACTCAGAGCATCCTCTCCAATTATCTAAAGCTTCTCTCTCTGGGAGGCTCACTCAAGCTCTCTCTTCCATGGAACCCTCTCTGAATACTCAGCTCACATTAGATGATGAGCTTCTTTTCATCTCTTCTCTCTTTTCCTTGGACTCTAACTCTTGTGTCTTCAATTATGATGCTTTACTATATGTTGTCCTTGAAAATGTTTGTTTTTCAGCATTTAACTACTCTTAGTCTTGGTGTCAGACCTAAAAGCTCCTTGAGGCCAGAGACCATGTCTTTTTTTTTTTTTAATGTTTATTTATTTTTGAGAGAGAGAGAGAGAGAGAGAGAGAGAGAGAGAGAGAGAGAGAGAG